TAAGCTTCTGATTAAAACAGGCAAAAAAGAACAAACTAAACCCAAAGTGATAAGAAACCTTAAAATATTAAGACAAGATTGGGTATCAATGAAATAGAAACAGAAAGCAAAGCCTAAAATTGGTTTGCAAGAATGATGGGTGTTGGGGAGAGAAGGGTGGTAAGGGGAGAGAGGGAGGGGGAGAGAGGAAAGGAGAGGAAGAGAGAAAAGTATTTTGGATTAATTTAAAAAATCTATCAATATGATTTATCACATTAACAGAGGAAACTAACATAGCAAAATACCGTATCATCTCAATAGAGTTGAAAAAATTTCACAAAATTTTACATGTACTCGTAATGAAAACTTTCAGCAAACTAAGAATAGGAGGGTGAAGGACCACTACAAATATTCCACAGCTTATATATAATAGCATATAATATATACATATAATATCATATAACAGTGAAATAGTGCATGTTTTGTTTTTAATATAGGGATCAAGTTTTGATTCAAATTTTATCGGTAGTTTTAGCCACTGCTAAAACAATCCAATAACATAAAATTCATAAATATTGAAAAGGAAAAGAAAATTTATTTGTCATTGACACAATTTTATATGTTTATGCCTTAAACAATCTTTGAAAAAGTATTAGAACTAATAAATGAACTTAGATTGCAGAATACAATGTTAACATAAGTAAAATTAATCAAATATACTATCAATAAAGAATTTTTTAAAATACAGTTGGATTTAAAAGAACATTCAAAATACAGCACTTAAATTTAACAAAATATAGGAAAAGATTTGTATAGGCAAAGCTATAAACCAAACTTAGATAAATTAATGTAAACCTAAATAAATGAAGATTTATCATATTTGTGGATGAAAAACAAAATGTTGTTAAAAGAACCATTTTCCTCAAGTCAATTTATTCATTTAATGTAATTCCAATCAAAATTCCAGCAAGCTTTTTTGTAAAATTCCCAACTTGATTCTACATGTTGAAAGAATATGTGTGAGACCTAGAATATCCAAAATACTATTGAATAAAGTATTTAAAAATTGATGAACTTAGCCATTTTAAGATTTAAAATAAAGCCATAATAATCAAGATTTTATAATATTTGTGTAAGTACTGGCAAATTAATCAGAAATAGACAAACTTGCAATGCCAATTAAAATTTGATGGAGCTAAGGCAATTCAATGGGGAGAGTATAATCTGTTCAACAAATAGTACTGTATAATGTATGGTAGTAAAAAAAAAGTTTAACCCTTACCTCACATCATGCATTCAATTTAATTTGAGAGGGGTTCATAGACATAATAAATAAAAGCTGAAATTATAAAGCTTCTAGAAGAAAAATGAGAAAATATCTTGGTCATCTTGGTGTTGGTAAAGATTTCTCAGACAAGATACAAACAAAGCACTAAGGATTAAAAATTATAAATTTGGCCAGGAGCTGTGGGACATGCCTGTAATCCCAGCACTTTGGGAGGCCGAAGCTGGAGGATGATGAGGTCAGGAGATCGAGACCGTCCTGGCTAACTCAGTGAAATCCTGTCTCTACTAAAAATACAAAAAATTAGCTGGGCATGGTGGTACACGCCTGTAGTCCCAGCTACTCAGGAGGCTGAGGCAGGAGAATCGCTTGAACCTGGGAGGCAGAGGTTGCAGTGAGCCAAGATTGCGCCATTGCATTGCCTTTTTTTTTTTTGAGACTCTCTCAAAAAAAAGTTGAATTCAACTCCATCAAAAAATATTAAGAAAATGAAAAGATGAGTCAAAGACTGGATAGACTAGGTATATGTTTAACTTAGAAAATGCCAAGCAGTTTTCCAAAATGATTCTTTAGTTTTGCATTTACATTAGCAATATATGAGAGTTTCAATTGCATCACGTGTTCCGCAGATTTTGGTGTTTTTAATTTTAGCTGTTCTAGTGAGTATAGAGATGTGTCTCACTGTAGTTTTAATTTGCAGTACCCTGATGAATGATGAAACTGAATATCTTTCTTGTGAGCATTGGTTACTTGCATATCAGGATTTCTAGTCAAGTGATTGTTTGGATGTTTTGCTCATTTTCCATTGGGTGGCTTGGGTTTTTATTGAGTTGTAGGATTTCTTTATATATTCTACATGTCAATTCTGAGACTTTGAATTTCTGATACAAGATTTTTAAAAATCTATGTAATTTTTAGCAGCTTCTTCATTCATACTAGGGACTTGTATTACAGGTTCCTTCTCTTGGTTTGGATTTTGGAAGGCAGAATTTTCAACAACTGAAATGTGTTAGCTCTTGTTTTCTTTTTGTTCTTACAGTAGTTTTGTATGGCTATTACCTGACAATTTCCAATCGTTCTGAAATGTCTTACATGTTCCTGGGTCTCCAATAACTAACTTATGTTGACTAGGATAAAGGCTTTTGGATGGCTTTTTATGTTTCTTATTTCAAGAGAGACACATTTGGTTTTTGATAAATATTTGTGTTGAAGTCTAGCATACATGCAGAAAAGTGCAAAAAGTAGTAGTGTACAGGTTGACCCATTTTTATAAACTGGACAGCTCTGGGTACTCAGCACCCACAGTACAAAATAGAACACTACCGGGCCCCCAGTGGGCCTGCCTAGTGCCCTTTCTAAATCACAGCCAGGATTACTGTATCCTGACTTCTAACATCATAGATTGATTTTTGTCTGGTTTTGAACTTGATATAAATGTGATCATACAGTATATATTCATTTGTTCTTAGTATCTCTTACACAGTACCATGCTTGTGAGACTTGTGTAGAGTTGGGTGTAGCTATAATTTGTTCATTCTCATTGCTTGTGTTGTTTCTACAGTTGAATGACATTTGTGTATGTTTCAGTTTGAAGGTGTAATGGAAGGTCTTGCTGTAAACATACTTGTATATCTTTTGATCCTATGCATTTGGGTGGGGCTGGATATATATCAAGTAGTAGAATGGCTGGATCAAAAGATATAAATATCAGAAGATACATGGATAATTTAATAAATATTGTCAGTTTTTCAAAGAGATTGTACACTCCACCTAGAAGTTTATGAATGCATGTATAGATATTATTATATATTATAAATTCAACACTTACCTTATTATGTCTTACTATATAGTTATATGTAATATACATGTGTGTATGTGTGTATACACACATATACAGTAGTTGCACGTATTTGGCTACACTTTGTGGTTCCTTTTCATTTTAGCCATTCTAGTGGATGGTTAGTGGTATTGCACTTCATTTTGCATTTCTCTGATGACTAGTGATACTGACCATTTTTCGTATGTTATTTTCTGGCAGCGTATCTTGGTATCAGATATATGTATTGCAAATATCATCTCTCATTATGTCATTTGTCTTTTCATTCTCTTATTCATACCTTGTTAATTCTAACATGGTCTAATTTATCAACTTATCCCTTTATATTATAGCTTCACCTTTATGGTTTAAGAATTCTTTGCCTAATCCATGGCCCCGAAGGTGTATGATTTTTATGATTAAATTTTTAAAGTTATAAACCCTCTTACTTGAAATTTAAATATTTCCATGTAGAACTTGGATTTTTCATATTTTTAGGATGTTAGGCCATGGACGTAAGTTTATTTTACACATCTCATGTATATCATTTGCACCAAGTAAGTGTTCCTTAAATGTGTCTTCAATGAATGAATATAGAGATGCAAGAAATGCGCTATTCTTTAAACACTGGAAACAAAACAAAAATTGAATTTTAGGACATTTCCTTTCTTACTCATTTTTTGAAAAGCAAAACCGAAATTTCGGCAAGTGAGAGAAATATAATTTTCACTTGTCTGCCCATTTTAGTCAGTGTTTCAGCTTAATACAAACATTAAAAGCAAAAAATATATTTTGTCACTGCTGAGGTCTGATCCACTACTCTTCTTATTCCTGGGCTTGGGATGAAAACAGTTTTGTGAGGCAGAGAGGAAGACTGTAAGTTCAACTACATAGCTGTATTAAAGTTTCTGCTCTCCTGTGGCACACCACATGTCCACTTTCAGTTATTTGGCCAATACAAGTCACATTGCTGAGTCTAGGTCAATAGTTGGAAATCTATAAATATACAAACTTCTTATAGGAAAAGAGAGTTTTAATTATTTTGAATAGTTATGCATATTACCATTCTGTCTCATGGTAAAGTCAATAATATTTTCTTTAAAATGTTTTACATATTAATCTAAAGGTTGTTATATTTATATTTAAATACCTTCTTTTTTTATTTAGTTCATTTGAAGAATTGATTACATGATTTCAGCATTTGGCTCAAAAGATAGGATTTATCTATGTCTATAACAATAATTAAGTAATTGTCAAGAGTATGATTCAGTGAATGTGGATTTTTAATTTTGTCATAGAGTTCGTGCAAAAAAACAATCATTCATCATTTATCTTGGCAATGTAAAGAGAAAAATGACAAGATTAAATTATTTGAAAAAGCTGTGGGAAAATCTAACACACAGCATGAAATCCAGTTGCCTTTTACTATACTATAGCTTCCCTTCTTACAAGAAATTTTCTTCAATCTGTGTAAAGTATTATATTTTAGTTGCACTAACTGTGTTTTCTCATATAAGCATAAAACTTGAAAATTAAATAATATATTTTAGAAAAACACATGCACTTGCATATTTCTTAGTGTATAATTTTTATAAGATTCCCAAGCATCACTTGTCTAAGTATTTCTGTAATTCTTACTGATTTATTTTCATTCATCAGATTTCCCTTGAATTAAAGACAAGTAATTGTCTTCCCAGATTGAGCAATTATTGATATCTTCCAACACCTAATTCCTTGCTTTTATTCTCCTCTTTACTACCACATAGATGACTCCAACACACTGGTAGAGAGTTTTGCTCTCTTCATGTTCCAAATTATACCTATTCTTTTGTGAAAGAAGCTTGAACTGTGTAATTTTATAGGAATAGGTTTTATTATAATATATGATACCAAATATCACATTTAAAAAATGGTGACAGAGTGCTTGCTTCGGCAGCCCATATGCTAAAATTGGAATGATACAGAGAAGATTAGCATGACCCCTGTGCAAGGATAATGCACAAATTCATGAAGCATTCCATATTTTTAAAAGAAATGGTGATAGAAAGATAAGACTTCTCAAGTACAGTTACTCTGAATCATAAGGAGAGAAGCTTAAGAGAAGAAAACAGTTGGTCAAAATATAATTGTTCTCTGCTTAGGTTACGGAGCAGACTTTATGTCTATGGTTCTGCTGGCAGATGCTTCTTTCTTTTGTCTCCCTGGTCTACCCTAATAATTTCTATGTCTCCCATTTTTTTCTCTATCAGATTCTTCTAATTAGTGTTGTGTACCCACCTTCTACTCATTCATTTCCTCAATCCTTATCACCAAGCAGTCAGGAGTCTGTCCATTCTACTCAACTGAAAAAGATCATGTCATTACCAGCTCCGTAAGCTTTTCTTCAGTTCTAATTATTCTGGACCTATAGGAAGTGCTTACGTAGTTAGCTCACTTTGCCTTCTTAAAGTTCTCTCCTACCTAGCCTTCCATTTTACAATATTTTCTTGATCTAACTTTATTCTTGCCCTTATTTTTTTCTTTTCTTAAATGTGGGCATTTCCATTAAAGGCTTTGGTTCTTTCTCTACAATCTGTCTCTTAAACATGGCTTTTGATAGATGATTGCCAATTTATTTTTCTAGCGCTATCTTCTCTTCTGAGATTTAGTTTCTCATTTCCAAATGACAGATAAAAGTTTTCTACATCATAACTTCAGTATTCCTAAAACTAAAGATAATTCCTAACCCCTAATTTCTTTCCTTATCTGACATTTCTATTTCTGTTTATAATACCCCACTTCCCTCAATAATTGATGAAAAGAATGGACCATGTTGCCCCCCCTCCATTACCTCATATCGATATGTCTTAATGTGCCTTTCCTGAAATGTATAGATTTTATTCTTTCAATTAATTCAGTTACTTGCCTGCCTTTATCTTATTCTCCCAAAGCACAGTGCCCTTCTATGTAGCTAAATTATGTCTCCTCTCTATATTTCACCATCAGTTTTGTTGCCCTAGTCTCAACTTTGAAAATCCTATTCCTGCCCTCCACACAAATTTTAATTTCTTCCATTTACTTATGGGATAAGTTTCAAATGGGTGGCTCAGTTTTTTCAGTGCACTTATTAGAGAAGATGAGAGCGAATAATACATCTAGTAGCAGGAGTCCAAATGAGTTTGACTACTGAAAAAGTGATTTGTTGGGGCAAACAATTCTATTCTGTGGTGTGGAAGAGTTGCCAGGAAGGACCACGTCCTGAATCTGACAGCAAGAACACAACATTCAAGCAGGCCAGAGTAAGAGAATAAGAGAGTGTATAACAATGAGATATCAAAATCACTAGGACAAGTTTGTGGAAAATGGCCAAGAGCATAAAACGTAGAAGGTGGAGATGCAGAAGTCAAGAACGTCAGGATAAACTTGATTTTCCTTATTGGAAAGTCTAAAGCCTCCATCCTCAACGTAACCTTTGCTGTGACTAAGCGAATGGCACTCTAAAAATAACTTAGAACACGGCATTCATTTCCATCTTTGTCTTCTATACAACTTCTCAAGCCAGAATGTACAGATGTAGTCTCACCTATTTCTCCAGATTTATCTAACTCCCTCCTTCACAACCAGCCTCCCTCAAACTTTCCATACCTCTAGGCCTTCGTAAAATTTCCCCCAAATCCTTCATTTTCTCTGAAAACAAGCTCAAGCATTATATTCTCTAAAACCGCCTTGTTTGTTTTAATCAGGTATTTTGTATGTATCCCCATACCGTTGATCACATCATATTATAGGGTTTTTTTAATTGTCTTTTTTCTCAGCTAGAACTCAGTGTCAGGTACGGGTTTATTAGTTTTTCTTCTTTGCCGTGTAGCAGAGTACTATTCAACAAATGTTAGTGTTCCACAGATGCATGTTAAAAAAGCAATAGTCTAATGTTCACCAAATGATACCTGCTTTCCTGCCTTCAAACCTAGCTAGTTTTCTCTTACCTTTAATGTACCTTTCACTTCCTTTCTCTTCATCCAAACTCACAAAATATTTACAAAGTACATCTAGAGGAATCAGATGTATTTCTACTCAAATCAGTATTCATTCATTATTTACGTGTTTTTGAGCTGTTATTTGATTTTCATATATGGTCTTGAGTTTATATTTGATTCTCATGGGATAATTTGTTTATTAAGACATATACATTTAATATTTTAAACTGGAGATTCTTTGAAAACAGATTGTGTCCCTTTTCAGTTTTAATACATTAAGCAAAAAGCCTTAGACACAGCAAGAGCTCCATAGTATGTGTTGAGTATGTGGGATATTTGGTAAAGTGGAGATGGGACCATGTAATGGTAGGGGGAAGGCATTCATAGGGCAGTTGCATGTTGCAACTGCTTCCTAAGCTGTGGAAATTTCTATGAGAAAAAAAGCATTGTATGTCCTATGCAGGACTGGTATGTCTTCCAAAGCGCTAGTAAAGATCCTGAAATTCTGAAGGTTGCAAACCATTTGGTTATAGGATGGTATTTCAGCAAATTACCTCTATAGGCCACTTCATTTCAGGTCTTTCCAATATTAGCTTCTATTACTGAACTGACTCTTTAAACTTCATAAATATTTTAAGCAAGACCCTCTATGTTTCTTTCACTCGTGTCAAAAACCCATTTATTTTTATGACTCTCTGATAATGTTTTCACAGTGATACTCTAAGTATCCAATTTTGGGTTGACAATATGTCTTTTTAGGTTGATGAGTTTTGCATAAATTTAAACTTCATTATATATTGATTAGCAGGAATGCAGGCATAAGATTCCGAGTACTGATTGGCATTTAAAATGGGATATATTTAAAACCAAATGGCCGAGACCATGCCAGGACATTGCTGTGTATAATTTCCTGACTGTACTCACTACATCATAAATAATAATGAAAGTAAATGTACATTTATCAGAAAGAATCAACAAAACCCCAGCACTGATTTGCTGATCACACTTGTCTTACCAGGCATTAAGGCCAGCTTTCGAACAAAGGTGCCTGAAGGTTTGATTGTCTTTGCAGCATCACCTGGCAATCAGGAAGAGTATTTTGCACTTCAGTTGAAGAACGGACGTCTTTATTTTCTTTTTGATCCTCAGGTAAATGAGTAATTACAAGAGTTAATATTTTTAAGAATTTAGTAGCTGCTCAAGTACTGAAGTAAATGGTTCTGTTTTCATACTAAATCTCTATCCAAAGCTTATAAGGTAAGTACTATTATTATCCCCATTTTGCCAATGAAGAAAATGAAACTTACAAAAGTAATGTGACTTATCCTCAGCTAAAACAGCAGAGCTAACTTTTAAATCATGGTCTGACTGAGAATTTATGTGCTTAACAGCCAAAATGCCACCTTATAATGAAGATTAAAACTTTTAAATAAATTTAAAGAGATCTATTTTTATTTTTCTTGATAGCAAAAAATCATGTCTCCTTTCCTTTCTTCCCTTTCTTTTTCATTGTTTCACCAGCAAATATTTAAGTGGCTATCAAGTACTATTGTGCTGGGTGTGGCAGACTGCAATAGCTTTAAAGTTAAATATGCCCATGCCCCTGTGAAACAATCTGCAAAGGATACAGTAAAATGGTCAATTTAAAATGCTTCTAAACTCTATGAAAATAAAAATTTAGGAGGCTATATATTATTGGAACATAAAATAAAGAAAGTGTTTTCTGAGTTGTCCATTTTCCCTGGAAATATGATACTTAACTGAGAAATAAATCAATGAAGAAAAGTACATGTCCGAGCTCTAAAGACCATGATTTTAGCTACAATCACGGTCAGGACAAGAGCATATGTCTGTATTAGAGGGTGTATATTTCAGGTGGGGCAGTACAGGGGTGATACTGATCTCCACATGGGAAGGTGCTGATCATAAAGTTTCCAGACAGAGTGAGCAGCAAATATTAAGTGCCTGAGGTGGATAAGAACATGGCACATTCAGTACAGTTAGGCGAATCTCATGTGACTGGGAACAGAGACAAATGGAAAGGTGGTAGATTGAAAAGCTGGGTAGAAATCAAGTCATTTAGGGCCTTGTGAGCAAATGTGAGGATTTGAGTTTTTCCTAAGCTCAGTGGAAAAGCACTGAACAGCTTTCTTCATTTTAGTTGAACAAATATCAGTGAGCATTTGTTATTAGGTATTGTATTAGGCCTGTGGGTAGTTGAGAAATGAGTAAGACTACGTAAAATATATTAGCTTTCCACTTTTTCAGCTCTTCAACTTAAAACTGATTATCAGTCACACATTATGCTTGCTAAATAAATGTTTTACATTTTACTCATAAAGCAGGCACAAGATTCAGCCTCTGTATCCAAGTTGCATCTAGGATCATGGACTAAGCAATCTGGCTGAGGATCTCAGCTTCATGCACCCTGGAGATCCATTGACCTTGGAGAGGAAAAGGCAGGGCCTGTTGTACCAAGTGTATCTGAGGACCTTGACAGGCTCAAGACGCAGGCCAAGGCCCCCCTGCTTTATAAAGCTGGGAGAGCCACACAATGGCCACTTGAAGGGCCAGGGGCAGAAAGGCTCCCTTCTTATGACTTAGTAGGAGCCTGCTAACTCCCTGGCTGGTGCACTGTAGGTCCTCAGACATAAGGATTTCTGAGCGTCCCCTAGTAATGCAGCTTCTTAAAGGATGCCAGCAGGTGGGCAGTGAGTAAGGAAAAGGAAATAACATCACACCTAAGCAGATCCAGCAGCCAGAGGGAAGGAAAGGAAGAAGCAGCAGCCATCACAGAAGGCAAGGCAGATGGCAACTGAAGAAAAATATCTGCTGAAGTTGATTCAGTTACATAATGGAAAATATTATTTTTCATTTGAAAACTTTAAGTAGATTAATTAGAGAAGAGACACTTTGAGCCTCAGATTAGTAGGTCAGATTAAGTTGAAGAAATCTCTCAAAATGCATAATAAAATGTGACCAAACAAGAAAGATAGACATGGCTACTATCACTAAGAAGAGATTCAGAAGGAGAACAAAAGCACATGCTCAAGAAAAAGGAATAAAAGAAA